AAAGCTGTCATAAAAAATGGTAAAGGAAGTAGAAACGTTCAAGTATTTGCTGATGAATGAAGCTGGACAAAGCTAGAGATGTTAAAGTGAAAAATATTACTGCTCTGTAAAAATGCAAATATAATTTGTAAGTCTTGTGAAAACTATATCCAGTAGAAATACACTGGAGTTCTTTAAATGCAAAGAAGGGTGGGGATGGTATGTGATTTAAATGAGTCGAACGGAATGTATCTTAAAAAAAACTTCTACATACTCTTTTAAGATGTAACAGCTGCTGAGGTTGCAGACATCTGACTCAAGGTACACAGTGTTTTTAGTACTTTATTTTATTTTTTAATTCAGTGATCCTGCAGATTAAAAGTCATTCTATCCTAGATTTGTGTTGTAAAATTCAAAAAATTGGCTTTGGAAGAGAAAAAAATGAACATTTGCATATTTAAATAGCTATCAAGGGAAAAACAAATCTGTTTGTTAGTTCTTGCTTTCACTGAATGCATAGAGGTTGAAAATTCCCAAGTCACTGTTAGATCTCATTAAATTGAATGATGGAAGTTGTATGCATCATCTCTTTGAATACAGTGCTGTTAAATAAAATGAGAAAATTACTTCCTCGTTAAGAATTTTAGCTGACTAACTTCACAATTTTTTATGTAACTTTTTTCATATTTGTAATTTTTGTGTAAATGAAGAGATGAGAACATTTTGTGTGGAAAACTTCAGGAGCATTTACAGAAGGGGTAAATGTTGAGGGTTTGGGCTTACTGATTCTAACGTAAGTTTACCAATTCATAATTCACTGAAAATACAACTTGAAATGTTCCTGCCATTCTGGCTCTGAGCAAACATCCACGTATCTATTACTGTACTTTACATCTTTGACCTAAGGAAGGTTTTAGTGTAGGTTCTCCAGTGATGTAGAACCAGGTGATTGCTTTCCTTCCTGGCCCACAAAACAGTGGTTTAGATTTAAAAGCAAAAAGAAAATAAGTAACTGCAAGTAATTCAAGGAAGGAGGTGATCACTGCCTTTTGCACTATCTTTGTAGCCAGATTGTCCCTTCTTCTGTAAGAAAAAATATGACCAATTCTGAGGGGCGTCAGTTTATATCAACACTACTTAAATTGGTCTGTTCTTTAGATGTTCTGAAGTTCTTTTATCATCGGTTCTTCTACAGTCCCAATTCCTCCCTGGGAACTCCTGTAATGTTTTTGTCATACAAACCTCAGAATGGAGACATTCAGAATAACGTTTCACATGAACTACACTGGGGTTGGGAAAACAGAAGTTTGCTCTTCCTGTGTGGAACAACAATTACTGGGTCTAGCACTGACTATAAGCAGCATTCAGGAATAATTAGTATAACCTGGCAACTGATTTACATAGCTGAACACAGCACTAATGAATAACCTGTGATAGGCTGTCAATATCTGTCAAGGCAGAAATAAGTGAGTTTGTACCTTTAGTAGACTGTGAATTCAGGGAAATAGATGGTGTCTGTGCTTCGGCATAGTCATGTGGAAGGCACTGTTAGGATTAATACACGGAGCTAGCATCGCTTATTCCATTACTGGTTATCTACAGAGAGTGCACCATTACTGTGATTAAGCATCTCATTGTCAGGACACAGTATTACAGCTGAAATCTATACATCCCTCAGAGGTTGCCTTGGAAGCCAAGAGGAAGACAGTGGAGCCATTCAGGATAGATAGAGAGGAAAGCTTTATGCAGCTAGGGCTGCACAAGAATACTTGTTTGTCTGATTATAATTACTACACCGGAATTTATCCAGAATAGCTGTAGTCTTGTGAAACATGCCACATGATTTTATTTTATGTACTCTTTTTGATAATGCCACAAGCAGACGTGATTTTGGATTTGCATCTTATCCAGAAGACTGAACTTTCATTTTCACAGTACGCTAAGCTGGCTAACATTCTTGGTGTTTTTGGTATGTCAATGTATATAGCATAAGAGCATAAGCTGTTAAATACTGCTCAGAAGCTGAAGGTTATGTAGATATTATTCAGTCTAATGGAAAAAAAAAATCATTTGAAAAATTGTAGGTGACAAATCTGTTCCCTTTGTATTTCTTGGCTTTTTATAAAGATAAAAATGGAATAGGCTTTATACTAAACAGATGCAGCTAATTTGCCTGAAGTGTTGTTTTCCACATATTTAATAAATTATGCTGTAGGTGGGGATGTTTGAATACTTCTAAATTATTCACTACAGCATTTTAGGTAATTTAGCTTTATATCTCATTTCTAAACCCACTCTCAATCAGTTAATATTTCAATCACAAACATTCAACATGTTAAAAAAAAAGGATAATTTGGGGAGGGATGGAGAAGGAATAGAACAAAGCAGCCTGCATTCTTTTTGTTTTTGAAGAATAATTGAAGATAATTTACTGTCTCACACATGCCAGAATTGTGGATCCTGAGTTATTGTCAGCTGGTGTATCTCCAGTGATTTGACTTAATAGAGTTGAAGATCAAGCCCTCATTATCCTGGGATCATGAAAAGTGACAGAAGTTTTGAAACAGCTGAAAATAGCTGGATATATAGGCTTGACTCGGGAAAAAGTAATGTGATAGAGATGACTTTTCTGATTGAACAGATTTTTATCAAGGATAAGAAACAAAATGAACCCTTGTTACAAAAGCTGTGAGATTTCTCTTGTTTCCATTTGTTTTTGTCCATGTTTCCACATAACTTGAGATGCTAGAATGGGATGAAGGAGAGAACTATTCAGGGAACTGTGGGTCAACCTTTTATTTTGGTATCCTGCTTTTATTTCAACATTGCTTGTAAATACCAGTAAAATGAGTGCTGATATTCTAATAGCTGCAGAAAGGTAGCTGGATCTTGATACTCTCTGCTTGCCAGTATTTATCTATGTTCTGCCTGTGCTGTAGCATGGCAATGAAGAGAGTATGCGCATCCCTGTGCTGAAATTGTACTTGGAAAAGGTGTTATAAAAATGGTATTGTGAGGTTCCCTGTGGACAGCTTCTCAGCAGCTTTCCTGAGGAAAAGTACTGGTTATGAGGCTAGGTATAAAGTGGTGTTCCCCAGGACTTTGCATGCATGATGAAGAGAACTTCAAATGTGTAGAAGAGCTTACCAAGACGTTCATGTTGGGATTAGCAGGGCTAAGGGGGTGCATTTGTCTGCCAGACCCAGCCTCTCAAAAGATGCGCTTTCTGGAATGCTTGAAAATGTCAGGAAGGGAAATGTTCCTCTCCCAGAAGCTGAAGTCTGTTTTGTTTGTCATCTGTGAGAAACAGTCTTGTACTGACCGTAGAAGTGTTCTGGCTGATAAATACATTACATGTCGAAAATGGAAGGTTGAGTTGAGGAAACAGTCTTAAAGGACTTCTTTTTGTTGTTGTTTTTTAATTAAAGTTGATGAGTTTGGGTAGTATTTTTTTTGAAAATGCAGTTAAGTCACTAAACATTTGTTTTCCACTCTAAACTACTCTACTGCATAGATATCTCCCCATAAAAATCTAGGATTTCAGACATACTCTTGATTCTCTGTTGTGAAGCAGTGAGCCTCTGATTGTGTTGCTTGTCTTGCTTCAGTGAACTGGTGTACATGTGAAATGAATAGACTGTGCACACTATCCTGATCCCCAAATCTTTGTCTGCTTTTAAAGTGGCAGAAGTCGCCTTAATATATAATTTTAACTTTCTAGTATTTCTAATCTTTCATGTGAATGTGAATTATTGACCAGCTAAAACCAACATGTCATACATCTAAAGATAAGGCAGGCAAGAGAGTGGAATCCTACCTTTCTACAGCTTCATGAATCAACAGGAGGCAAAGTAGTCAGCCTATGCTTTTGTCAGTGAGGTGGGCGGATCAGACCCCAAGTACAGTGCAGAAAGAGATTGAAAGAAGAAGAAGTCTGTGCTGATCTTAACCATTGATATATAGTAAGTTTTGTGATAAGAAATGCACTTTTAAAAACTCTCACAGCTGAGTCTTGCAGAATAGCAATGCCATTGCAAAGTGACTAGGGAAATCTTTCTGTGTCAGAATGAGTGGAGCTGCAGACATTGAAAAGGTGATAGTGATAAAAGAGACTAGCAGGAGATAAGCATTTTTGATGGAGACATACCCTTGGGTCTTTGTTTTCCTGAGCAGTTCTGTATTAAGTTTGTCCGTGGCCAGACAAATGTTCAGATTGGTTCAGAAATGTTCAGAACCATGAACTACATGAAACTTGCTCAAATGTACATTTAATTCCATCCCATCAAAAGACTGATGGTGTTAGTGAATATTTGAGCAAATATCATTTTGTATGTAACAAGTGAAACTGAACATTTGAAACTTAGGTGCATGTAGAAGCTGACAAGTTTCAGTTATGTTTGGTATGTTCGTTCATTAATTTCATACTTAAGTTCATAGATTTAAAACGTAACAAAATTTACTTGAATTCCAGATGATGAATCTATTTAATTTCATATAATTATGAAATAAATAAGAAATTAAAAAGTAGAAAATAAAATAAAAAAGAAATAAAAAAATAGAAATAGAATATATTATATAGAAGTAGAAATAGAAAATAAAATAAAAAGAAATAAAAAAGAATATAAAATAAAAAAGAAAAAGAAATGTGTATTGTGGAGGCTGTCTGCATGTGTATCTGCATTTTCATTAATTATTACTTCTAGTTTCTAACACCGCCAATGAGTCTATCAGTTATGAAAGACTTGGTTGAGTGCTATAGAAGCACAGATCTCCTTTTTGGATCTCCATTGCATAGTTAGACAAGTAAATGACTGATAAGCCAATCTCATACTGTTTGTGTTTGGCTTTGAAGTTCTTTGAGGTGTGCACCATTTCCGTGTTACAAGTTTTCTACTCAGCAAAAAGGCCTGTGTTGCTGGCCTCTGGCACAGCATGCTAACATGGTGCACGTCAAAAATCACAGGTGAGCGGATAGTTTATGGAAATGTACTGATAAAGTGATCTTGTTATCTTTTTTGCAGAATCATGTAAACCCAGCAATGGATTTTACACAGACTCCTCCAGGAATGCTAGCCCTTGACAATATGCTGTACTTTGCTAAACATCACCAGGATGCTTATATACGGGTAAGACTTCTCCTCTCCAAGATATGTGCAATTCCCTGTATATTCTGATGATGTCCTGTTTATGGTTCACTTTGAAGAGGAAGGTTCACTGTTAACAACTATAGGAGGGCAAACCATGTAACACTGAAATGTGTCGTGTCTGTATAAGCTGAGTCAAATATTATAGATATTCTCTTAGGCCTGCAAAGAGAAGAGAGATGAGCTTGTGCTTTTTTGGATGAATGATGAATGACTATGAGCTCAGAAATGATTATTTGTGCAGAATTCTCTGCTCTGTTTGAAGTCTACCAAAAATTATCAGGATTTTCTGTGGGGAGGAAGATTTGACTAGCAAATGATAACTGAGTTGACAGTGTCCTGAAAGTTAAGATGCTCCCTAAACTAAAACTATTGCTTTAGGTAAAGTAATGCTTGTAGAAAAACAGGTAAAAAAAAACCATCACAATTCCCTTGCACAACCTGTTCCTTCCCCTGCCCAGTTTACTTCCTACATTTAGTATTTCAAGAGTAGTTAAAACAAGTTGTATTGTTACATCCTTATGGGAAGAGGCATACAGGAGAATAATAGCTGCATCAAATAGAGCAACTTTTCCTGACCTTTAATGAAACTGAATATTTGCCATGAGCAAACTTATCTGGCACAGATGGGAGTAGAAGATAGTCTAGGAAGTCAGAGTCCTGAGCTGGTAGGGATGGGTTTAACTACCCCCAGAAAGTGTGTGCCCAGGGACCTGTACGAGGAAGTTTGCATATAGCAACAGTAAGCACATCAATTGTTTCTACTAAATAATGAAGAGTGAACTTATATGAAGTAAGCTATAAGAGTTCCCTTGTTTTTGTTCAAAGTAGAATAGTGTTAAGGCTGTAATAGGTTTGTAAAGGGTGTACTGATATCCAAGAAAGGATTATCCATGGTTATAATAGGAGACCACAAGTTTGTCAGTTTTACTCTGTAAATTCATCTTGCTGCCTCAGTCTGAACCTAGCAGTAACAGACTGTGGCAGTCTGCAATGTGGAATAGTTATTGAACCTGATCAACGCCTGAAATTAAGGGTTATTTCATATACTGAGCAGTGAGTGTGTTTTATGGGTAAACTATGCTGAGCTGTGGTTTTCTATAAAGGTACGTGGTTACATTTTCTCATTAGAATTTGGGTTTCTCATTTTAAATTTGAGTAAGACCTGGATGGTGTTTCTTCATAGGCTTCTTTTTAAAATTCTAAATTTAGAGGATACACATAGTATGGGTTGCCTGTGTATCCCACATAGCACACATGCATTTTGAAGAAGTCCAAAAGAATTTAAAGAGGACAGGCACTGTTGAAAATGAGCTTTCATTGACTTCTCTCAATTTATTTTTTATTTATTCTTCATTTTCAAGTTGCAGGTGCTGTTTTAAAAATTGGGTCTGGTATTAGCCACTTTTTAGAAAGGACGTCAGTGCTCCTCAGCTTTGTTTCTTTAATGCAGTATTTTTGTTGCTGCATTACTGAGAATTATTGTTGTTATTTTGAGATGCTTGTCTTTATACTTGTAGGATTCTTTTTACAAGAATGTCTGGGTGTGCCTTATATATTTCTCACCTCAAAAAGAGTATGTGTACACTAGAAATGCTATGCTGAGGCATGCTGAGATAAAATTGCTTGCCAGAAGTTGCTGTGGGAGCTGCTAACACACCTTGGGAATATGTTAGCCTACTCGTCTTTCCAGAGTCAAGGAAACTGCATTTTGCAATGCAGTTAATTGCTGTACCATGGGTCAATTCCTAAGCCCCAAAATGAGATAATATCTGTGCTGTGGGGTAATTAAAATTCAGATTGGAAACCAGCATTGGTTTAAAATTAACTTGGAAAATACAAAGTTTTTCCTGACAGCATGCAGTGTATTAAATGAAGATACTATCAGGAAATTATGATGACTACACCAAGTCTATTGCCAGTGCTGTATTTTAATGGGTGGTACAAATCGCTGCAGTCTGACTTGCTGAGTTCTTAGGATGCCCCAGCTGCATGGCCCTTAGAAAGGTATCTTCGAGTAATACTGAAAAAGCTGGGTAAGGAGAGGTTAGAAGAGAAGGCAGGCAGTGATCTCTTTCCTTTTTGTCTTTTTGTTATGGCTCTCATAGCTGATTCCACTTAGGAGTAATTTGCATAATAAATGGATTAATTAGATGAGAAGGATGTTTGAAGCTGCAGTGACCTTCAGTGAAGGGGGACAGTAAGGCTTCCAAGAACAGTGCCAAGCAAAAGTACTTACGGTGACAGCAAACGTGTTTGCAATAGGTTGAAGAACATGAGTATGAAGGCAGTGGAGCAGATGGGTAACTCTGCATCTTGAAAGCAGAAAGCATTTGAGGGTGAAAACATAGCTGTGTCACAGTGAAAATGTAAACAAGATTAAGGAAACTTTTAGTTTCAATTTTGATCCTAACAATTTCCCAACATTTCATTTATCTTATTTCTTTTGCCTATTGCACATTTACTCCTGAAACTACAGTGGTTTGTTTTTTCTTGCTGTCTTTATTCAGATAAAACAAATCGTTTTTCTTTATTTATACTTTTTTTTCTTTTTTTTTTAATCTCACTTTGTTTACTATATAAAATGATTGGTGTCTCCTGAAGAACGTTTTTTTGTGTGTGTGTGTGAAGGAGCATGTTTTCCTTGTGCATGTTTGCACAATGTGTAGTGTCCTTAGCTGTCATATGGATTTTTTTTTTTTTGAAGTCCTATTGAATTACTCTCTTGTTGAATTAGCTTTTCTTTCTCTTTCTTTCTTTTTTTCTTTTTTTTTTTTTTAATTAATTGTTTGGTGCTATCAGTGACTTTAGTAAAGTGCATGCATTTTTTTCATGTTCCACTTAAATAATCAATTGCTATTATCAGAGGCTTTGCTTTTAAAAGGTGGTGACATAAACTATATGGAATGTATTGATGGAAGTAACGTTGAGTCTCTGCAAGAAATTATAAAAGTTTCTGCAGGAAAAAATTGGCAGCTTCCCAAGCTACATAATTATAGGACAGTCAGAGTGTATAATTAAAGTTAACAGTGAGGAAAATGATGGGAATAAAGCTTTGTGACAGATAATTTTTTTTTTTGTTCTTTTGGTGCAGACACATTTTCATCCCTAGTCGCAATTTTCTCCTTTCCAAAACTACTTTAGTTTCAAGTTCTACTATTTTAAAAATAAAATTATAAGTTACCGTTTAAAACAGACTATTCAATTTAGACACCTTAAGATTTTTCATGCTGGTAACTTGTGGCAGTGTGCATTTTAAACTGTATTGAGTTTTTAAAAGGGTCTGAGGAAAAACCTTTCCATGGAAATCCTATCATGCTATTAGTATCTCAATTTATTGTTGCTTTGTTGTTGATTTGTTTGGGAATTCATGATACAAGACTCTGCAGATTCATTTTGTTTTCAATACAATGAGGAGTGATGAATAAATATATGAAACTGAAATATTTTGTATGTATGAAGGCACACACACATTCATTTGCCTGATTTTTAATTTGCTTTTTGTCTGCATGCACTTCATTGTTTGCCAATGTTGTTTTAAAATAATGAGATCTACTTTGTTTTGTGTAGAGGGCAAGCTGAAGGAACCAAAATGGAGCAGTTCTTTTATTTGTAACCCAGAAAAAAATGAGAGTTATCTGTTGTTGTGTATTTAAATCTGACATGTTTTTACCTCAGATGCTTCTATAGATAAAATAATTTTGCAGTTTTGATAAGCTGACTCCTACACGTGCAGTCAATATTAGTTTAGATGTTCTTCATAGCAGGCAGCAAAATCAGCACTACTTCTCCTGTTGTGAGTGGACTGTTGTTCTTCTTGTATCTTCACTAATTTAAGTGTTCTCAGGCAGAAAGAGAAGATGCCATAGGGTAAGCTGAACTTAAAGGAACTATACCTTAGCTTCTAATGTGCAACTATTGAAATATTCTGTTATTTTACATTTTCTTTACAGATGTCTAAATATAGTTACAACATTTACCTGGGAAGGAATGGAGGATTTTACTATAGGTTATTGTATTTCACAGAAAATCATCTGAATCATAGAGAAGTCATATACACCATTGCCTGTGGTGGGGTACATGAGTCTCATTTTAATGAAGTTGCTTTTGTTGACTTACAAGTTAGTGACTTGTATACATTTTTTTTCTTCTGTGCTTATGACCAGCCATATTCCAACATGTCTCTCTGCTGTGGAGTAAGATTCCTCCTTGAGAACAATCATGCTGTGTCTCCTCTTTTTGTTCAAGCACAAAAGATTGCTGCTTCAGGCAGAAACCACAAATAAGCTTTGCAGCTCCAGGTCTGAGCACTGGCTAGCTATCTGTCTGGATTCTGGCTATCCAAGTTTATGTCCTTTTTTTTTTTTTTTCCTCCATTTATTAGATGAGTAAGCTTTTCATACATTCAGGCTAAAAAAAAAAAAAAAAAAAAAAAAAAAGTGTTCCTTGGAAAGAGATTGTCTTACAATAATCTGAAATTCAAGAGAAGAGATGGTTTCTCCCTATTCCCAAGGACTATATCTATTTCATGCAGATATGTGTTAGATATTAAATGTAGAAGTGGCAGTATAACATATTGTCAACAGGGTGGGAAACCAGTGTTGAAATTTATTTTGTGGAGTTGGGCTTACTGATCCTATGGTGTATTTTATAGTGGATCCATTTGTGCTGTATTTTTGTGAATGATGTGCAAGATACTTAGTGGCACGTTTCTAAATTTTCTGTTCTTGTATTTCAGACAAGTACTAAGTTATCAAAATGCTCCAAATAAAAACAACATTAGGACCTTAAGCCAATAGTTATTTTGATTAACTGAAAATTAGAAATTGAGCTGGTTTAGGGTCACAAATAGAAAATCACCCTTTCCTCTGCATCTGCTGAGCTGGAAAATCAGTTATTCATACAGCTGTGATGCAGTGACACTTCTTCCCCAGCAGCTACTTGAGTTGCCGCTTTTGGGGAGGTTGAGGAGAGAATGTCTT